TTGGCGGAGCCTTCGACTTTTTTATTCTGAAGAGCGTTACCCCGAAAAGATAAAGGTTTTTTAAAACGTGTGTATTCATTGTTAAAAATCAATTAGTTTTAAAGCCACTATTATCACTAGTATTTCTGTCGAACGAAAAAAAAATATTATCGTCATCTCAGATGTCCTGCTTAATATTTAACAACAAGTCTTAAAGAGGCAACAATGATGAATATGATCCAGACAATATATCACAGTACATACGGCCCACATGCGTAATGTAATAGCACATACGGCCCACATGCTTAATGTTACAGTACATAGTGACTACAGACGCAATGTTATGCATACATAACTTACGCTATCTGTGTATAATATCTACGCTTGAGAACCTACACTAAGCCAATTGACGGACATTTTCAGTATACTTCGAGAATTGAATAAAATTGTCAAGGTCTATTAAGTCTTGAAACTACATCATACAGTGTCCTAAGAGGAAAAGTTTGCCCGGGAAGCGGCACTATGTTCTACTCTTATATCGAATTCCAACTGCCAAGGGATCTTTTACGTACATGACAATGTATACACGGGGCCATCCGAACGACTAGACAGCTGTCCTTGTCAGGCTCTCCATTCTGCACCACTGACAAGGGCAAACCACTCTGGAAAACCCAGATGAACTTTCTCGGCCAATGCAAGGATCGAACACATGCCCTTCAGTATCTTACCCACCGTGGTTCCCTTATTAAGCTTTAGTGTGTATGAATTATGGGAAGCGGCGGAGAACCACATTATAAACTAATATAGTAAATATTTTGAATATCGCGCATTATGTGTTCATGCATTATAATTTTAAAACGTATTTTTTAATCAGAATAAAGGGTCATTTATAATGAGCGTGAATTCGAACGCGAACGCTACCACGGCCACTGCAAACGACGATACGCGTGGAAATCCGCCGATGAAACTGACGCACTGATGATTGCGCCGTGTATACCTTTTGGCCTCGCACTCTGATTGGTTAATTCAAATTCATCGCGACAACTTCTCCCAAAGGTTCGCGGTAGAACAAAACTTCGACCGCATTCGCCGTTACTATAAACGACGCCATTCAAATAGTAGTTAATTAACTGTGGTCACCGCGTTCTCGGTCGCCCTCATTATAAACGACTCCTTGACGAGAATGAAATTGAAAAAATGAAATGGGCTTTATAGTTACTATTCAATATTTTTAAGTTATATTTTTAAAATGTATTAAAATAAAGCCCTAAAATAGATGGTATCCATAAACAGTCCTTCCTTGTTAAAGAATAATATTATTAATATTATTTCACTATTGCCAGTTGAGAAATTGGCAAAAATATCATTTTCATCTTTAAATTCAAACGTTTGAAGATAGCTACTCCATGGTGGAGAGTAGAAAACAAGGGAGGTAATTGGGAGGTAATTGTGTTATTATTTCCGGTGTAAATGAGTTTTAAGTGTGAGAATGACACCTAAGATCGTATAATAGTGAGTTGACAACCTATTGAGCAAAAGACATAGAAATAATTATGTTTTGACTTTCTTAGAAAATATGAAATTGTAACTTTAAGGTTTAATATCCTGCCCCGACTGGTCGAATGAAAGCAGGCATATATAAGGAAAATTTTGCTCTGACAGTGGCGCTATGATCTACTCTTATATCTTATTTGTGCACCAACTGGGCTAGAGCAGACGGGCGTAATATAGTGTACTATGAGGGACATTTTGGTCCAGACTCTTATTGTGAATCCCAACTGCCACGTGTCCTTCTACGTGCACGCCAATGTGTATAGGGGACCTCGATCGTTTGTTCCATCGGAACGACTATATATACACTGTCCCTTGCTAGGCCCTTTGTCTAGCACCACTCAGAAATCGCACCACCCCCCTCCCAGAAAATCCAACATTCTACTCATCACGGCCCTCAGCTTGACAAGAACTGTCTATTGAACAATAAATATCACCAGGAGGGAGACCCGACATGTCTATAACATTACTTAACCTTTTTATTAAATTCCTTTCAACCTTTCAATTGTCCATATAAATTGTCAAATCAATATCAGCAATTCCATAATGGCGGCCAACTCCTTTCAGATTCGTTCAGACACTACTTAAACATCTTTCTTTTTTTCCATACGAGTAGACAATATCTCTAGTGTTGGTTTCCAGTCAAGATGTATTGCGTCAAACTAATGACAAGTCATTTCAGGACTAACACATGGTTCAATTTTATTTCAATAATTCGCTTGCGCGTAGGGGTCTTTAGCAGTGGGAGGAAACCGGACGACCTCGAGAAGACCCAAGAGGTTGGACAAGCAACCCTACTCCTTGTCACGTACAACCGGGGAATCCGAACTACGCCAATTGACTCAATGACAGACCTTACAATACAGTGGGCACGTGCTAACCATTCGACCATCCAACCACGCTTCAGTAAAACAACATTTAGCCATTACGGAAATAAAGTATTTTTTTTAAATGGGCATTATGGGAGATTAGATAAAGAGTTGCCAGTTCTCGTTAAAATAGTTAAAATATAGATAACGTAAATAGAATATGCTGAAAATTTCAGTCAAATTGCTCCACTCTTAACCGCGATATGATCTTTTGAATTTTAGACTAGCCTCGATCATCATTACTATTATCGGTATGGTAAAGAAACAAATTCTCGATTATCCATTTTACGTTTAATTAATTTTTTAAAAAATGTATTCTAATCCGTTAAATATCACAGGCTAGCGATGGCATCGAGAGTTGATTATGGTCTGGTATAATGTCTAATTAATGATTTAGATAACATTTAAGGCCTAAAGAAAGGCCTGTAACAGGCAGATTTAGCTCTTGCTATGCAAACAAAAATAGATTTTTGTCTGGTGACAAGTTTTACTTTATTTCGCCTACAGGTGAGCATAGACTCTCACGTGTTTGTTCGCCAAATTAAATCGTTGAAACGTCAATGCGTATTAATAGTGCTTCACAATATTTATGGCATTAAGGCGTTGTGCAATTCATTTCTTGGAACTATATCCTTTTCCCTTTTTAATGGAGGGGGGTTGGATGGCCGAATTGTTAGCACGTGCGTGCTGTATCATGAGGCCTGTCATTGAGTCAACTGGCGTGACAAGGAGTCGGGTCGCTTGTCCAACCTCGTGGGTTTTTTCCGGGTACTCCGGTTTTCTTCCACTGCTAAAGACCCCTATGCGCAAGCGAATTATTGAAATAAAATTGAACCATGTTTTAGTCCCAAAATGACCTAGTTTGTGTCGAGTGGACGTTAAACCCCATTTCTATCTTTCTCTCCCTTTTTAATTGTGTAGTTTATCCGTCAACAAAAACTGTTTTACGCTAAATTTTACTTAAAAACTTCCATAACCCTTTAGTACCCAATTATTGATTGGTTGACTGATTCAGATGACGTCATATATATATATATACCATGAAGTAGTTCTATAAACAACGTGTAACCTTTTCATCAGGATATACCAATCTCGTTCTTTCAAGCACGTGGAGTTCAGCTTGGGTCAAGCAATGTTATGGGTATAGCACGCAATCTTGTAATAACAGTAAATAATTCTTCGAATCAAGATGCTGGATGGGTGCATTACAAAGCTAAGATTGTTGACATCAAGGAAGTGGGTAGCAATTACATTAAATTATGTTTACTGTTTCTGGTTAAGCCGCAGTTGAAGTGCTGAAAGGCAGACAAAGGGATCAGTCGAGGGAGAAACTAATCGGATCATGTGCTACCCAGAAAGTGATCAATTCTTACTTCTAGACGAATTCAATTAAACGATTCACACCCCTCCTTACAACATAATAACTTTAAATTAAAACATCGACATTCTCCAAATCCGTGGATTATTCTTTGTTATCGACGAGACATGATTAAAATGTAACACCTTTAAGTTAACACGAAACTACCATCATTCTAGAAGAATTACTCGTTCGTGAAATTTAGATTGGAAATTATTGTTTCCACTCGCAGTGTTTGTGAGTTACAAATTTTAATTATTCCGTACCGAAATTTGGGATGGATATTGAAATGGGACTGTTTATCTTATCTGTTAGTTACTTTGGTAACGGATTCTTATCGGTGCTGGCCCCTATCCGTTACTGCCTGATACTTACTATACACTAATATATGAAAAGAAGGCTTTTTCCCCACCTCGGTTCTAAGGCTATTTTGGAATCCTTACCGTCTATTTTTCCACCGTGATTCTTCTTTGTTCGCTAAAATTTATAATAATCGAACGCTATTTTCATGTAGAATTTAGCAATCCGAAAACACAAACAAAAATTGATTGAACTGATCCGCCATTATCGCTAAATTCTACATGAAATAATGTTATCTGTATGAAACTTTATACACATCTATTATCTATATGTATTTGTTTAAATCTCCTTTAGACTGACGCATATCTTATAAACAGTTCGAGATATACTCCAGCGAAAGATCCATAAACAGTTCGAGATACCCCAGCTAAAGATCCATAAACAGTTCGAGTTATCTACTCCAGCGAAATATCCAAAAACAGTTTTTCGCTTCTTGGGAGCCAAGGTGGTTTGGTGGGAGACATTTGCTTGCTAACCTGGAGGTCGCGTGTTCAATCCCTGCATTGGCCGAGGGAGTTCATCGGGATATTCCGGCGTGGTTCCCCCGTTGTCAGTGGTGCAAGACAGAGGGCCTGGCAAGGGAAACATATAGTCGTTGGGATAGGACGAAATAACTGAGGCCCTGTGTACACATTGGGGTGCACGCGTTAAAGATCCCTTGACTGTTAAGCATTTCATTTCATTTTTAAATTATAAGGTCTGCCATTGAGCCAAGTGCCGTGGTACATAACAAGGAGAAGCCCCGTGGGGTTTTCTCTGAGTCCTCCAACTGCTGAAGACCCATACGCACAAGCGAATTATTGAAATACAATTGAAGCATTTGTTAGTCTCTCTCGCTCTCGTCAACTGTGTGTTAGTAGCTTTCATGTTTGTTTTCAATATTGTTGTAGGGTGCAATTTCCGGATTAAGAAAAAGACACAAGGGTTCAGGTTCTCGCATAAATCGGTTTATTAATAATAACCACAATAAAAACCCTGAAATACATAAATACGTACTATAAATAAAACATAACATTTACACCAATTCATTAAAACATTACAATCACAAATATCACAGATAAACAACTATACATAATATTATACGACTCCATAGATCTAATTTATAATATAATGAATGATTTGAAATAATACTTAAAATATATATATATTAATTACTAACTTATAATATATATATATTATATAACTTAATTACTAATATAATTGACTGGCTAGGTGCTTACCCTATAAAGGGGTTTTCCAACCACTTGGAAGCCAAAAGATGGTGGCAAGCACTTCCAATAAACCTGTAAAGTTATACACATCTATAAATATGTGAATGGTAAATAATATTGAAGTGAAAGACTTCAATGGTAATATATGATAACGTACTAACCCAGGATACTTTGTAACTTCAAGATATTTTATTTAAATGAAACATTTAAATATTATTTTTACTAAAATTCAAGATGGCTGCCAATCTATAAACTACTATTACTATTACTGGTTAAAATATATTGGTACCTAATTTAAAACAATTATTAACTTAAACATTACACATACCTGCTGTTGAATCTGTAATTCCTATTTAATTCATCTGTAACCTTATTAAACACTATACTATATCAAACTAAAGCTAATTATAGAAATTGGAATATTGATGAAATACCAAAATCCCGCCAAAACTAACTAACTAGTAGATACCTGGAGAAAATCAGAAGGTGATCTTTCTCCAACAAAATCTAAAGTAAGAATGTCAAAATAGTCAGGTGACCAATGAATGTTCAGATAAGAGAGAACATGCACATGGTGAGTTGAACACTACTCACCAGTCCACAAGAAAACTATAGAGACAGACAAGGGTGATAAAGATGTTATAGCAATACTTGGTGTGTAAGGTTAAATGTGCTCACTGTGTTAAAACATGCATAAAAGGACACTGTGCAAAAAGAACACTATACAATAAAATAGCATATATTATACAAATAGATTAAAATAAATCTTCACTCTGTCACATACTCCCCTGCCAAGGAGAAAGGTTGTCCTCAACTCGCATTCTTGAAAACTTCTGGAAATAAGGTTTGGCACAGCATGGGTAAAGTTTCCAGCACCACTCGTAAACTTTCTGGTGATAATGACATAAAATCTGCAGGCAGTAATGATCTGACCAATTCAGCTTTCCTCAAAACAGAAGTTGTTGTAGTCTGGCTGGACATCACATACTCTTTATGCCATTCAGGTACTTTTCTTTCCCTTGCAGTCCTTCTAGTTCTGGTAACTTCAGGTTCAGGAGAGAACGGATCTTCTTCCGACGATACAGACTCAGACACTGGTGATACCGGCCTATCTTCACCATCTTGAACAACTGTAGTCTCAAGTTCTGGTTGTTTCGCCAACCTGTTCTGTGTCATCCATGGCCCTAGGTTGAGGCAGTAAATCTGCTTCATCCATGATGTACACAGGTTCTTCCTCTTCACTGTCACTCCTGTCACTGTCATCTACAGATACTGATACTGGTACCGGTTCCTTTCTGGTCTTTCTGGGTTTAGTAACTGGTTTTGGTGCTGATACTGGTAGTGTTGGTACTGTGCTGATCGGTAATAAATGGTTGCGGTGTAGAGTTCTTGATCTTTTACTGGTGTCTTCACAAACTAATTCATACACCGGAATGTCTTGGTGAGGTTGTCGGGATACAGTATATGGAGTAGTTTCCCACTGGTCTTGAATCTTGTGTCTGCCTTCTTTAAACGCAAGTCGTTTGACCAACACACGATCTCCTGGTTCTAATATACTACTTCTAGCTCGAATGTCATATCTCTTCTTCTGTTGTTGTTGTGATCTACTTACCTCTGATGATGCAGTTTGGTAGGCATGTTCTAGTTTATCCTTCAAATTTCCTACATAAGTATTGTAAGATGTATGTTCTTCTTCATTGTTGACTAGACCTAGTACAACATCAATAGCTAGAGTTGGCTTTCTTCCAAACATTAGTTCGAATGGTGAATAACCTGTGGCAGGATGCTTTGTGCAGTTGTACGCATGTACCAAAGGAGCGACATAGGTTTTCCAATCTAACTTTTGTTCCGGATGAAGTGTTCCTAACATATTTAGTAAAGTACGGTTGAATCTCTCGCACTGGCCATTTCCTTGTGGGTGATATGAAGTAGTCCTTGATTTATCCCTGCCGGTGAGTTTACACAGTTCTTTTATGAGTTTTCCTTCAAATTGCTGACCTTGGTCACTATGCAGTCGTTTTGGAATTCCATAATGAACTATAAAGTTGTCGAAAATCGCTTTTGCTGTTGTTTTAGCTGTGGTTTTCCGCACCGGAATGGCCTGGACATATCTGGTGAAATGATCAGTTATCACAAGAATGCTGTCATATCCACCCTTTGCTTCCTCCACACAAACATAATCCATGCATACCAACTGTAAGGGTTGATTCGTGGTGATGTTCACTAATGGACATGTTGTTGATGTAGCTTTACGACATAAACATCTTGGACAATTCTTGAGGTATTCCTCAATATCTAACATCATCTTTGGCCAGTAAAACCTATCCTTTGCCAGACTGATGGTTCTATCTCTACCCTGGTGTCCAACATCATCATGGATACCTTTGATGGCTGAATTACGGTATTTACTTGGCAGAATCAGTTGTTCAATTTCATTGCCACCACTCACTATCCTTCGGTACAGTACACCAGACTTGAGAATGAAACGTTCATATTCACGATGAAGAATAGCTTCTTCTTGTGTATCTGGCTTATGGTGTGGTTTCCTTTTTGTTGTTACAGCTTCAATTATTCTTTTAAGGACAGGATCATCCTCTTGGTTCTGTTTCCAGGAAGTCTGGTTAATTAAAGATGATGATTCTGACTTAGCTGGCACAACTTGCTGTGACATACTTATGGTGGTAAGGTATCCCTCATCCACATCAATACCTTTTAATGCTCCAACAATATCTTGGTGTAATTCGACATATTCAGTTGAGGATGGTAAACGACTTAAAGCATCTGCATCAAGGTTGTTTTTCCCAGGTCTGTATTTGATGGAAAAATTGTAATTCGTCAGTGCAGCTAACCATCGGTGACCTGTGGCATCTAATTTCGCTGTGGTGAGAATGTAGGTGAGCGGGTTGTTATCGGTATATACAGAGAATGTGCTGCCTAGTAAGTACTGGTGGAACTTTTCTGTAACTGCCCATTTTAAGGCCAAAAATTCTAATTTGTGTGCTGGATAATTTCTTTCAGATTTGGTTAGAGATCTGCTGGCGTAGGAAATGACTCTTTCTTTTCCTTCCTCTTCCTGATATAAAACAGCTCCCAAACCATTACCACTGGCATCGGTGTGCAGAACGAAAGGTTTGTCGAAATTAGCATATGCCAACACTGGAGGGTTAACTAGTAGTTCCTTTAGATGGTTAAACGCAGTTTCTTGGGGTTCTTGCCAGATCCATTCCTTAGTTGGTGATTTACTTACCCTTTTTCCCCTTTTCTTGAGAGTTGGTCCTCCAACTCCAACCAACAAATCATTCAGATGCTTGGAAATCTTTGAAAAATCTTTCATGAACCGTCTGTAATATCCTACGAAACCTAGAAAACGACGTAGTTCATCAGGGTTGGTTGGTCTTGGCCAGTTGACAACTTTCTCTATTTTCTCTGGATCTGTACAAACTCCTTCAGATGAAACAATGTGTCCGAGATATTTCACACGTTCTTGAAAAAATTTACACTTCTTTGGACCTACTGTAAATGCAGTTTTCATCCTATCTTCCTCTCGTACGTTGATTTGGTGATACCCGCTCTTCATATCAAGCACCGAGAAGTACCGTGCTCCAGCTAGGTGGTCAAGCATCTCTTCTATACGAGGCAAAGCATAAGCATCTCTGATGGTAACCTTGTTCAGCATTCTGTAGTCCACGCACATGCGGATGGAATTATATTTCTTTTTAACGAGTACTATTGGTGACGCATATGGACTATGACTTTTCCTTATGATGTTGGCTTCCAAAAGATCTTGAAGATGGCCCTTTACTTCATTGAACAATGATGGTGGTATCCGGCGATGTGGCTGTTTTATTGGTTTGTCGTCCATTAAGTTGATGTTGTGTTCTACCAAATTATCACATCCAATATCGTTATCATGTTGAGAGAACACACATTGCCATTCCATCAGAAACTTCTGTAAGTCATTAAGCTGATGCGGTGTTACATCTGAAGTTGAAAAATCAATGTTGTCCAAGAAACTTCCAGTCTTGTTACCTTCAACAGTGGAAATAGCGGAATTGGTTGTTTTCCTGATGACATCTGCAGCTTGCAATTCACACAGAATTGACCTAGGATAGATCCTAACTGGTGACAGTGATAAGTTGGAGAGTCGAACAACAACAGGTTCCATATTCTCTGAGTCAACTTCCAAAAGAGCAGGTGTGATTTCGACTGATGTAGGTATCAGGGAATCCAGTGAGGGTTGGAAAATAACCTTGTGCTTTCCCTGCAGTTGAAAATTTGCAATATTTCCTTCTAGACATATAGATCTGTTGCTTTCGAGTACTACAGATGAAGTTTCTGTGCAAATAACTTGTCCAATCGCTCCTTTGGTACAATTTTCCTGAATTTGCATACAATCAAACGTGAAAAACCATGTTTCAGGCAGATTTATGTGACTGGAGTAATCCTTTCCATGAATCGCAATAACTTGATTGTGAGTTGGACGTAAAACATTTGTTCCAATTAATACAGGTGTAGTCCGACTAAAGGGTGTGTCAGGCACTACTAAGAACAAAGCATCCAGCGAAGGTAGATTCAAACTTGGTATAGTGAGTGAAGCACTTACAACGCCTAAGTACGGTAATCTTTGTCCTCCTGCACTCTCGATGTTAATTAACTCGTCTAGTGAAGTAAGCTGGCAATCCTTGTCTTCCAGTTGTGTTTTAAAAAACGTTTCACAAACCGTAGAAACTGTTGAGCCTGTGTCCAGTAATGCAGATGTTGATTTACTGTTGATGTGGATTACAGTGACATTACTAGGTCCAATAACTGTAGGTTTGGGACTTTCAATGTCCATGCCTTGCAACTGTCCCTCATCCAAAGCATCTACCAGTTTAAATCCTTGTTAGGAATTGCCATTCTGCATCCACGAGCTATATGGCCAACTTGACCGCAACGGAAACAGGAAACTGGTTGTCTGTTGTTAACTGGAGGTCTAGGTCTACTCTGTTCTGGTGGTATCGGACTTGGACGATTACTGAAGTTAGACGGTTTTGACTTCATTTCGGTGACGTCTTTCTGTAAACTCTGAACAGAAGCAGTTAATGATGACAGCAGCGATCGAATATCGTCATCTGGAGCATGTTGAACCATTTTGACCTGTCCTTTTATTGATGATCGTGGTGCAGGTATAGGAGCAGTTGCAGATTCCCTCTCAATTTTCCTAATTTCTCTTAGTAGATGTTCAAAGTCGTTTATCCTATCATACTTATGGGCAGTTCTGTCCTTCAGTTGTTGATTCAATCCACTCCATAACTTGTTTCGCAGTTTAGCGTCGAATGTTCCTCTGTCTACTTCACCTTCAAGTCTAGCTTTGTCCAACAGATCCTCGATACGGCATGCCCATTTAGAAACAGATTCTTCTGGACCTTGCGTAGTAGAGTAAAACTGTGATAGTAAACTCTGGCCTTCTTCCACCATTCCAAATCTGCTTTCCAACTTGGAGAGTAACGATCTAGTGGAGGCATCATGTCCCAGTCGCATGGCCACTCGTGCTGCTTCTCCTTTCAATGACTTGGTGACAGCTAGTCTAATGGTTTCTGGACTGTGTTGGTTATCTTGAAGAAGACTAAGAACTTCGAACTTCCAAAGATCAAATGTGGTATCTCCTTTGGAGAATACATCTCCAGAAAACGTAGATACTCTTGGTAGTTGAGGCAAAAATTTCACATGTTCCGTTGATCTGTGTGGGTTTCCCTGACCTTGATGATTTTCTTTTACTTCAGATTTGGTTTCAGAAACACTTCCTGTCAATTTCCCAGATGACTGTAAGTAGTTGAACATCCAGTCGATTAAGTGTTCTGGGGTGTCTCCATCTGGCTTTACTCCTAAGCTGGAAAAAGTTTCTGCCAAATTCTTAATTTCCTCGGAACTCATGCTCTGTGTCCTTGTTCTTGCTCCTCCAGTTGCCATGTTGACACAAAAAGATGATGATCCAAGATAACACAATAGTAGTCTAGACAACACCCAATAAACCAAGTCAAACTCAAACACCAAATGGTTACTAATTAACTTTGATTGCGACTAGTATACAAACAAAGTCAAGTTTTCACAATTATAAAACTATATCACTAAACTAAAAACACAAAAGAAATATTCGCAATTAT